TTAATTTACTACATTCAAATACAATTCGAAGTTGTTAATTTATGTTACTTCGCAATCCTCTTGTACCTTCAAGTAAAAGTAACAACGCTTTCGAAAATCTGCTACAGTAGTAGCAGACGTTATATCCGGAGGTAACGAGTTCCAGAATTGTATGCCGGAAATTATGAAAGATTTTTGAAATGCGACTGTACGGGCAGCAGGGACATGAAGTGTATCTGTGCGAAGAGGATTACGACGCGAAATCATGTTGGCGAAATCATGAGAGAGAGAGAGAGAGAGAGAGAGAGAGAGAGAGAGAGAGAGAGAGAGAGAGAGAGAGAGAGAGAGAGAACGGGTGGGACGAGGGGAGACCCACGCTCCCGTTTGAAAGCCACGTTAGACTCAACTTACTGGCGGAAGCTGAAAATTTCCGGCGCGAGTTCAAAATCCGGACAAAGCGAAATTCACTTACGTAAGAGTACCTAAGAACGGCCCACGGATACGTTTACCTGCACGCATTAGATTTTATGGTATGGACGTTGATTTCCATGACAGTTTCCCTTCTGCAGTGTATTATACATATATACGTTATGCTAACAACACAACACGTAACACTGTAATAAATATAAGATTAGGACTCTGGTAAAACCACCTGATATGTTACTATACGCAGCTTGCAAACTAAAAGCCTCTAGCGTTCTATCCGAGTAAACTTAACGTTTTCTATGAATGGGATTTTTGGTATGTAGCTACGTAGAACTTTCGAAGACTCGAGCAATTTCAATTAGACCAAACGAGAAATCGCGAGCGTAAAAGCACATCTGGCGTCCGGTTTAAAGTGTGCCTCAAGAGACCGACATAGTCTGACTTACAATTAGTCGTACGTCCTGGATATCTAGCAGCCCGTGATGCCCGTGATCTCGGCTACTGCATACGGCACAATACTGCATGAAAAGTTAGCATTGAAAAGCAGAATGTTGAGGAGCACGTTATGCATATTGGTGCCATTGGAAATCGAGAAAGAAAAATAACGTGCCTAGATGGAGAGTTCAGTCGATGATGAGCTATTGAAGTAAAACATTGTAGGAAAATAGGTGATGATCGAAAATGCCGCGAGTTTTCGTACAATGATTCTCAAGGTGAATGCACATGATTTTATAAACCAATAATTGTTTCACGTGACTCACCACTAAGAGAATACACCGATTCTCGGAGGTTACGCCACCGCATCCCAGCCAACTGCCAATTACTGCAAGTGCACCGGCCGCAATCAGTGCATAAGCCAAAATTGGATAGGTCGAGGTCGCCATCAGCGCGACGTAGCTGTGTTTCGAGACAACGGTCCAGATGCCGATTCCACCCACAACGAGACCGGATAACTGAAGAGGACAATAAAAACAACAACAAAAATTATCAAATCAATTTTGTACACTTTCAGCTACGAGACTATATTTTGGACGCATTCCTTTGAAATCGTCGTTACGATGTATATAACAGGTAAGCAGATCCGCGTGGAGGGACTAATTGGACTATAGATTACTGATCCTGAACGTGCTGCGTCGCATCAGGAGAAAGGACGTGCCTCTCCTCCATATGCAATTAAGGCATCTCTACCTGGTAGACGCAGGCAGGATAGATGCCTCTGCATTCTCTCGGCGCGCATGCGCGACTGCGGGCAGGATAATAGGCGGCCCTTAGGGCCACGTAGAGTTGCGTAGAGAGAGTAAGAGAGAGAGAGCGGGCTCGTGCTCACCGATAGTATCACAAACATCCCGAACACGTGTGTCGCGAGTAGCCGAGGTCCTTCAGCACATAGGCTCTTTTATAGGCCCCAGCAACACACTCCGCGATAGACGGTAAATCCGATGGGTCCCAGCAGAACGTGTTTACCTCCTGGTAGATTTTGGGATAAGAATACCTACTATAGTAGCCTGCCCCCCCCCCCCCC